CACCTTCTGCCTCACGGCAATTCTGTCAATGCGTGCGGGTGCCCGCTGTGTGCCAGCCCTGTTCTAGGCTCCACGGCCACAGCATGAACACCACACGCCAGGTCTCTGCCTGAGGCCGGGCGAGGGCCGAGCTTCGTCTCACGGTGCTGGCGGAGGTGGAGTTGCTGGAGGTGGAGCGTGCGAGGAGGGCTGACACAGAGTCGGCGTCTGGGGGCTGGTAGTGCCCCTCCGCTCGTCCCCTTTCCTTCCCGGAGAGTGAGGAGTGAGCCAGAGGACAGAGAACACCCGGGGGCCGGGCCCCGGTGTGGCGCCCTGCTCAGCCACTTCCTGCTCGGCGGGACAAAATGCCTTTGTTGGCCGCGTCCCCGTGCCTCCCTCTCTGTCTCTCGATTCCCAGGAGTGTCCGCCGGACGGGAGGAGCTTCCGCGAGGAGCAGTGCATCTCCTTCAACTCCCACGTGTACAACGGGCGGACGTACCAGTGGAAGCCCCTGTACCCCGGTACCTGCAGCCTGGGCTCTACCGTGCAGGGGCAGATTGGGGGTGGCCCTCCAGCACCCAACCCCCACCCCCGAGGGGTCATCTCCCAGGGCGATGACGGGAGGAGGGGCACAGCTACAGAGAGCCATATCTTGTCCAGTGCATGAGACAGGCTGGGAGGACAGGTGGGGAAACTGAGGCACAGAGGAGGAGGGGCTTACTGAGGCCACCTGGTGGTCAGCTTCAGAGCCAGGAATGGACCCTGGGTCTCCTGAGCCTGGGCCTCGAGGCTGTCCTCGCACCCAGGACTATGGGGACTATGGGGACGTGGTCCCTGACAGTGTGGCCTCTGCAGTCAGTGGTCACTCCCCTACAACCCCACTGTGTGGACAGGGCTTGGGGACACACCCAGAGGGTCCTAGACAGGGCTCGCCACTCAGTCTGTGGAGCCTGGCTGGGTAGTGGGACCTGGTGGGGGGAGAGGGAACCACTGGTTCCGGCAAATCATGGGGTTGAGTGGGCCTCCCCTGCCCTCGGGGTGAATGCTGGGGGCCGGGGCCAGCAGCACAAGCGTCCAGTAGGCTCCGCTCATCTGCAGGAGAGAAGTCCCCTAAGGGTCTCCAGAGCTGCCCCCCTTCACAGGGTGGCAGAGTGCTACAGCTTACAGCCCCTGGGCTGGGGCCAGGCCACCTGTGTCTGCCTCTGAGGCCCTGGACCAGTCCCTCCCGCTTTCCCAGCCTCAGTTTCCCCATGAGGGGTGTTGTCTCTGTGGAGGGTGGGAAAGTCCTTGAATCTCACAGCCCTCACCACACTGAGCCCCTCTGTCTGATCCCCCCAGATGACTCTGCCCACTCTCCAGGCCTCAGTTTCCCCATCTGTGCACCCAGGGGGTGGGGGGACGTCCTCGTGTCTCCCTGCACTGAGCCCCTGTCCCCCCAGAAAACGACCTGCACATCTCCAGGCCTCCGTTTCCCCATCTGTGCACCCGGGTGGGGGGGTACATCCTCGCGTCAGCCCTCACTGAGCCCCTGTGCCCCCAGACGACTACGTGCACATCTCCAGCAAGCCGTGCGACCTGCACTGCACCACCGTGGACGGCCAGCGGCAGCTGATGGTGCCCGCCCGTGACGGCACATCCTGCAAGCTCGCTGACCTGCGAGGGGTTTGCGTGTCTGGAAAATGTGAGGTTGTTAAACGTTGTAGCAAACGTTCCACTGCTCTTCTCGCGCCCGCCCGCCCACCCACCCACCAGGGCCATGGCGCCCCCGGCCGGTCCCGGCGCCTCCAGCGGCCTCTCCCCCTCCCTCCCGCAGCCCATCGGCTGTGACGGCCTGCTTTTCTCCACCCACACCCTGGACAAGTGCGGCGTCTGCCAGGGGGACGGGAGCAGCTGCACCCACGTGACTGGCAACTACCGCAAAGGGAACACCCACCTCGGTAAGGAGTCCGACCAGGGCATGTCCCGGCACCCAGGGTCCTGCGTGCGATCCCGCCCCAGCTTGCTGGGCTCCTTCCCTTCTCGGGCCACTTGGTTCCGGGCCCAGGCAGCGGCCAGGTGCTCTGCAAGGCCCCTCTGTCAAGGAGTCATGAGCAGCTCCCTGTTGAGCACCACCTGCATGCCAGGAACTGCAGTGGGCACTTGGCATTACAGCAGCTTGCAGGAGATGTTAAGCCACTCTTAAGAAGGGGGAAACTGAGGCACAAATCCCTGTCCTCACCGCCGACATGAGATTTGAGTCTGGGCACGCTGGATTCTAGAGCCAAGGTTTGCAAGGGGCAAAGCCGGGTGGGGGATCAGGCATCCCGACAGCTTCAAGCTGAGCCCCTCCCTTCCCCGAGCCGGCTGGCCCAGCCCTCACAGGGGCTGGAGGGTAGGGTCTGTGCACGGGACTGGACTTTACACTTGTGGAAGATACCACTTACATCGCCTAGTGCCGAACCAAATGCATCGATGGGTGTCAGTAAGCGCCTCTGGAATAAAACTGGACCATCACACCCTCTAAGGAGCCCTGGTGGTGCAATGGTTAAGCGCTCAGCTGCTAACTGAAAGGTTAGGGGTTCAAACTCACTCAATGGATCTGTGGAAGAAAGACCTGGCAATCTGCTTCCACAAAGATTAAAACCAAAACCTGTTGTTCTCGAGTCAATTCTGACTCAAGGCAACCCCATGGATTACAGAGTAGAACTGCCCCATAGGGTTTCCAAGGCTGTAATCTTTACAGAAGCAGACTGCCACATCTTTCTCCTGCAGAGCTGCTGGGTGGGTCAAACCGCTGACCTAGTGGTTAGCAGCCGAGCACTTAACCACCGTGCCACCATGGCTCCTTTTGTGAAGATTATAGCCAAGAGAATCCTACAGGACAGTTCCAGTCTGTAACACATGGGGCTGCCCTGAGTCAGGATTGACTTGACAGCAACTGGGTTTTTTTTTTTTTTGGTTTATTATACCTTCTAGACTGGGGAAGACTGGGCAGCTTGAAACCCGCTTAGCAGATGGGGAAACTGAGGCTTGGAGTGAGATTGCCTGCTCAAGGTTCCCCAGTGAGGCTGGCTGAGTCCGGACTAAAACCACCCCCTCAGGGCCACCTCGGTTTGACGGTCAGGACCGGTCAGAACCTGTCTGTGTCCTGGAGGTTGAGGAAACTGCCTCCTCACACCACTTTTCCCCCAGATGAGGGATGACTGTGGAGCTAGGGTTGGAATGAGGAGGTCCCGGGGGTGTGTGGTGACATGGGCTGGGGCTAAACACCAAGCAGGCGCGCTGGAGAGTGTAGGGGTGGGCTGGGACTCAGGCGTGGGGGCGCCCCACCAAAGAGGGATTGGGGCTGGTGGAGGGAGGTGCGTGTGTCTTTAATGGAGGCCCTGTGGCAGAGCAGCAGATGGGGCTGCTGGCCTGGGCTGGGGTGGAGGCCTCTATGCCAGAGGGGTCTGAGCAGGGACGGATTATTCAACAGGCAAGGTAAGCCTGTGCTTACCTTGCTTACTGGGTCATCTGCCCCTGACAGGAATGGTAAATTTAAAAAGAGGCTTTGATTCTGTAGGAAGGTGCTATGGAGTTGGGAGAGAGACAGATGCCAGCCAGACCTAGAGGCAGAGTCTTTGACGTGGTGAAAAAACGTGAAATTGTTCACTACAGATGATCTGGTAAGCAAGGTGAGCACCGTGCTTACCTTGCCTATTGGATAATCCGCCCCTGGGCCTGAGCGCAGGCATCTTGCATCCCCTCTCTGCCTTGCTCTGCCAGCCCAGGGACATGGGAGAGTCTGGTTCAGACAGCACATCTTTTTTGAGCACCTGCTGTGCACCGGTCCTCTGGGAGCTCTCGGTTTGGGGAGGGGGCTGGCGCTGGACGGTCCCACCTCATTCCACCTGGGGCCTGCTGTGTGCACGCACTGAGCCTTGTCTGTGGGAGATAACTCGTTCACGCCTCCAGGCGTCTCTACGAACGAGGCAGGTACTCCTATCACTGCTATGCAGACGCAAACGGGCAGAGAGGTTAACTAACTAGTCTAAGGCCACACAGCAGAAGAGGCAGCCTGGCTCATGTGTCTGTGGTCCTAACTGCTGAGCCCACTCCCTCCCTGATATGCCTGTGCTTGCTAACCGTGGGGCGGGCCTGTACCAGCCCACGAGAGCCAATTACTAAATGCTCAGGAGTCTTGTGAGCTGTTGTTAAATATCCATTATTAAAAATTCAGGTATATAAACCTACATTTAAATAATATTAAAAACAAAGGCCTTAAACACCCCCAAAGCCATCATTTCCAAGATGTTCCACCTCTCTGCTCCATAGCTCTAGGTTCTAGAGGTTGTATCTGTGTGGCGGAAATGCTGTATAACAGGCATTACTGCTGCGCACCTCTGCCCAGCTCCCCGTTCACGGACATCAGTAACTTGAAATCGGCCATGCTGGAATGTTTACACCATGGAAATCGGCCAACGCTTCAAATCACTGTCCCATTCCCACCCTGAGGCAGTTGTTAAACATTACCAGAGTGCCACTGGCCGTGAGGGACAAGGCCATCATCTTCAGGGACTTGTAAGAGGTGGGCGGGGGTTGGGGGTGTTAGGGAGAGGCAGAGAGCTTGCCCCACCAGCGTCAGCCCCCAGGGAACCGCCAATTTCTGAGGGCCCTTCTCACCATCTCTCCCACCCCTGAAGAATTTTATATCTTTCTTAGGGCTTTTTCTTGGAGCTCTGGTGGCACAGTGGTCAAGAGCTCGGCTGCTAACCAAAAGGTCAGCAGTTCGAATCCACCAGCCGCTCCTTGGAAACCCCCTGGGGCAGTTCTGGTCTGTCCTATAGGGTCGCTGTGAGTCGGAATCGACTCGATGGCAACGGGTTTGGTCTTTTAGGGCTTCTAGGAAGCTGTGCTGGTTCAGCGGTAGAACTTCGCCTTCCATGCAGGAGACCCGGGTTCAATTCCCAGAAAGTGCACCTCATGTGCAGCTGCCACCTGTCTGCCAGTGGACGCTTAAGTGTTGCTATGATGCTGAACAGGCTTCAGTGGCGCTTCCAGACTAAGATGGACTAGGAAGAAAGGCCTGGCGATCTACTTCTGAAAATCAACCAGTGAAAACCCTGTGGATCATAGTGGTCCAATCTGTACCTGATCATGGGGATGGCGCAGGACCAGGCAGTGTTTCATTCTGTTGTGCCCCCACCCCATCTGCGAGCAGCTACTCTTCTGTCCTCAGACACCCCAAGACTCTCAGTTCCTTTTCTGCTTGGAGCACTCCGTGGTTGGCTTCCCACTTGATGGGGGGCCTTGGTGGTAAGCCCCAGGTCGACTGAACTAGCTGTCACGAAGACCTGGGCCTGGTGCTCAGGGAGGGCTTGATGGGAGTTGCCAGATAGTATGTGCACACTTTCCCTCGAATTTTCTCATCCACGTCTTTGAAAGGAGCAAGACTGCAAAACCAGTGTGGTGTTGTGACATGACAGGATTTAAACGAGATAATGATCGCAGTGTGCTCAGTGCTGGGCCCTGCGCTAGGCAGAAGCTTCTCACCCTCACCCCAGAAAAGGAGCTGTTACTCCCGAGTTTCCGATGAGGTAACTGAGGACCAAGGGCTCTCTCAACTTGCCCGAAGCCACCTTGGTGGTCAGTGGCAGAGAAAACTCGAGTTCGTTTGACTCCAATGCGTTTAAAGCCCCCATGGTGGGAGAGGGAGTCCCTGGGCGTCACAAACGTTAACCTGCTCAGCTGCTAACTGAAAGGTTGGAGGTTCGAGTCCACCCTGAGGTGCCTCAGAAGAAAGGCCTGGCGATCTGCTTCCAAAAAACCAGCCGTTGAAAACCCTATGAAGCACAGTTCTGCTCTGACACACGTTGGGTCGTTCTTACTGTTGAGTTGGCAGCTGGTTTTGATTGTTGGTGGTGGGGGGCGGGTACCGATGAGCATCACCAGTGAGGACCCTGGTGGGAAACGGTAGCGGACTCTCTGGCAAACCTGGGTGCATGCCGCGTCTGGGCAGAGCAGCCTCTCCGTCAGCACATGGCGTCTCGCAGGGCTGTGAATTTGCTGCTCAGGCAGAGGATGGCTGTATGGGGGTGGGTGGGCCTGCCCTGGGACCCCCGCCCCTTGCAATCCACTGTGCCTTTCCTTAGAGGCAGAGTGGCACCGCCCTGCCCCTTCCCAGGGTGCCTCTCTGGCTGTGAGCTTTGCCGGCTGCTCACCGCTGTCCCTTTCCCCAGGCTACTCTCTGGTGACGCACATCCCGGCCGGCGCCAGAGATATCCAGATTGTGGAGCGGAAGAAGTCCGCCGACGTCCTGGGTGCGTAAGTGGGGCTGGGCGCTGCCTTGCTGAGGCTCGTCCCGGGGTACTCCCTGCGGGAGAGGTGTGGGCCTGCAGCCATGGCTCCCGGAGGCAGGCTCGGTCTGGGCATGGGTGGGGGCAGAGGAGGTCAAGGGGAAGCAGACTTCACCCCCTTGTGAGGAGGGACCTTGGCCCCGAGCTGTGTGCCAAGGGAAGGGTTGACGACAGGTAGTGAGCTCCCCGTCACTAGAGGCTGTGCACAGCAAAAGCTGAGGGTGCTGGAGGTGGGGCCCCTGCCCTGGACAGGAGGGGTGAGATGGTCAGCTTAGAGCCGAGAGGGGTCTGGCCCCGCCCAAGGCCGTGGGTGACTGAGTAGCAGAGGCGGGGCTCAAACTCGGGTCTAGGGGCTCTCGGGGTAGTTATTGCCACGGCAAGTCTGGTGGGAAGTTGGCCCTCCGTGGAGGTCTCAGCGCGAGCTTCAGGAGTTGTTGGCATAACTGTGAGCCCTGTCTTGGTGGTGATTTCTGGAAGGCCCCCTGTGAATCTAGCATGTAGGCGCTCACGTGCCTGTGACTTACCTCAGGAGGAGCTCAAGGCCTGCTGAGCGTGGCAGGCAGGTGTGACACCTGCGAGCCACTCTATGCTTGGCTGCACTATGCCGGGGCAGAAGTCTTCTGGAAGGTGGGAGGCAGGTTAATGTCCCCGCTGGCCTCAGGCTGGGACCCCAGGCTGCATAGGGAAGCTGTTCTCTGAGGCAGACGCAGCCCCCCGCCCCACATTTTACACGGCACAGTGCTTTCCGCCTGCCTCGACTCCCGGGGTCTCAGGGTGGCTGTGAGGGACACTGGGGGAGCAGAGAAGTTTTGCTAAAGGTCCTCAAGCTAAACCCTGCCTCCAGTCTCCCCTGCCCTTATCCAGAGCCTGTGGGATGAGCCCGGGGATCGGAGCACCCCACCTCGAGCTCCAGCTCCCTGTATCCAGAGGCCCGTGCTCAAGCACCCCGGGGGCTGCTCCAGGCCAAGGATGGGGAGTGCTGCGCAATGCCAGGCCCTCGGCCAGCCCGGTTGCTCTGTCGCTGGGTGAACGCTGAGGCCAGGAAACACCGTGTTCCCAGCGCTGGCTCCAGCGCGCTCATTCTTGAAGCAGACGCGTGGAAATACCAAGCGCAGCCTTGCTCACTGGGGAAGCCGCAGGAAGGAAGGTCATTACCGTCAGGAAGCAGGGTTTGGACGCGGGCCGGCCTTCGCCCTGTGCAGATACCTGGAGCTTGGCACGGCCCCCCCGGCCCGCCACAGCCCCCTGCACGGAACCCGGGTGTCTTGTTTGCGTTATTCTTTGACGTCAGTACGTCCAGGGCGTTTTTCAGGCAGACGCGGCCTGCTGGCTGCGTCTGTCTGATAGTAAATTAATTGCACCAGGCTCCTGATCATGTTGCCTCAGGAGCTTTGGAAGCCGAAATCTGCTTCTCTAGCGGGCCAGTTCCTGGAACTGGCTTTGAGGACGCCCCTTGGAAGACAGACTGTCCCCGAGTGCTATGCTGCTCCTCCCATCCCCTGCCCTGGAAGCTCCCAGGGCCTCTGCTGGCTCTCCACTGTCCCAGGAAGGACTCATCCTCAGCTGCCAGCCCCCAGGAACCGTGGGGGACAGGGCTCCTGGGGGTCTGCGGGCATGTTCCTGCTGTCCTGAGCCTTCATTCAGCCCCAGAGTGCCCGTCCTGCCGAGAGTGCCCCCCTGCTTGGAGGGGGTGCGACTGGGAATGTGCCCCAGGCTGCCCTCCTGGTTGATTGCCCCACGTCTGGGCAAGTGGACTGCCGGGGGTGGTTAGCGCGGTTGCGCTGGCACAGGCAGGGAGGGCATTGCACCGCCGAGAGCATAGAGCCGGCCAGCTCGGGACGGTCCCTAGGAAGGCCTGGTGGGGTCTCTGGGACAGCCCCAGGCCAGCCACACTAGGCTGTAGCGTCCTCAGTGTGGTGGCTGGGTAGGGCATGGGGGTCCCCTCCTCATTGCCCAGGGCAGGCTGGGGGCGTGACAGGCCCAGGGTTACACAGTGAGCTGACAGCAGAGACAGGCTGGATGCACAGTCCTGTACCTGGCAGATGTCTGTCCCATACCTGGCAGACACCTGTCCTGTACCTGGCAGACCCTTGTCCTGTACCTGGCAAACTCCTGTTCTGTACCTGGCACACCCCTGGGACATACCTGGCAGACCCCTGTTGTCCAGTGTGGCCTCCCTGGTCACTGCATTTCCAAGGCCAGGCTTGCTGCTGGCCCTGGCACTGGCTCCTCCCCTTGTGGCCCTCGGCTCCTTCAAAGGCGGCCGGAGTAACAGGACCCAGGGAACCTGCCCAGCTATTTGCGGTCATCCAGACGAGTCCTTGTTGATTATTTTTGGTTAATAGGGAAGCGCCTTTCCTTTCCCGGCTTTCACTGGCCAGGGCCACGTGTTGGACTCAGGCAGTGTCCGACTCCCCCATGATGTAGGCTCCCTGTCCTCTGGGGCATTAGGGGAGGGCTGTGGGGGCCTGGGGTAGCCGAGTCCCAGGTGTGTAGAGCTGGCTCCTCCCAACACCTGCCTCCCTCCAGCTGGCCTGGTCTCGTGACAGGCGCTTTGCCCTGTCAGCCCTTGCAGACGAAGCCGGCTACTTTTTCTTCAATGGCAACTACAAGGTGGATAGCCCCAAAAACTTCAACATCGCAGGCACCGTGGTCAAGTATCGGCGGCCCATGGACATCTACGAGACCGGCATCGAGTACATCGTGGCCCAGGGGCCCACCAACCAGGGCCTGAATGTCATGGTGCGTGGCTGCGGGCTGGGGGCCAGGCTGCCATTAGTGCCACACAGCCAGGCCACTGGGCTTGGGAGTCTCTGTTCATTCACTCATTTACTTACTCATTCATTCACTCCCTCATTCATTCACTCAGCTTTTAATGCATCCACTTAGCATCTTGTTTACGCGTTAACCCGTGCATTCTTTCACCCAGCCACCCACTCACCAATGATCCACTCTTTCACATAATTATTCATTCATTCATTCACTCACTCACTCACTTAGCACTGCTGGCGGAGCCACTGAGCACATTCTGTGCTGATCTGTTCCTCGCTCACCGGCAGCTTTGTGAGGAGCTAAGGACAGGACAGGAGGCTGGATCTAGGGCACAGGGACGTGAGACCCTCTCCCTGCTCTACAGTGCGGGTTATGCCCCCACTTAGTTCCCTTCCCACCCACGGACACCATGGTGTTCTGCCAGTCTTCAGTGCTGGCGATCAGGGCGGGCTGCTCAGGACCCCTGGGGGCGGGGCTTAGGGTGGGCGCTGTGGGCGCAGAGCTTGGGCCTGCTGTGCCTGGTGTGCCGTGAGCGCTCCACCGCGGCTGGTGTCCTGAAGGGAAGGCTGTTGCAGCTTGGTGCCCCCACCTGAAAACCACAGAGAACTGGCCGCTGAGATGGAGTGACAAGGAGGTGGGCGGTCTGACATTCTTTGCGGCCTGCTGGTTTCCTAAGCCACAGAGGCCGAGGAAGTACAGCCAGACCCCACTGTGGCCGTTGTTCTCATCCAAACCCAACCGTGGCGGCTGTTAGCGTCCAAACCCCACTGCGGTGGTTGTTAGTGCCCTCACTTTAGAGAGGCTGGAACTTGGGCACAGAGCGGGTAGTGACCTGCACAAAGTCACGGGATTGTAGGTGTCACCACTGGGCTTTGAACCCAGGTCTGTCTGATGCCAGAGCGGCTGTTTGTGCAACTGTTGTGCTGGTGGAGCCTCCACTCTGGAGAGCTCCTCCCACCTCCCCACACTGCCTCTTGGCTGAAGACTGGCCCTGGTGAAGCCACAATCTCATGGGGCCGCTTATTTCCAGGCCCTTGCCTGCCTGGCCTTCCCTTGGAGCTGTCCACCAAGGCAGGCAGCTGCTGGCTCTATCTTCTGGCTGGAGGAGCTCGGTCCTAGGTCAGGTTCCTCAGGAAACAGGCTCTGAGGTGGAGGTTTGTGTGTAGGAGGGCTTGGGGAGTGGGCTCAGGGACTACCCCATGGGAGAGTGAGGGAGACAGGACTGGACAGAGGGAGGCATTGAGCTTGATGCAGATATGATGGGAGCCTCAGCTGACCCCACAGGGCGAGTTATCTCTAGTTGAGGCAAGGGACACCAACTAGTCATTGGATGCGGTTGCCCCCTAAGGAGAGGTTATGACCTTGGGAGGGGCAGCTCCCGATGGCTGAAGGAAGTCCCTGGAGACAGACCCGGTTGTCAATTGTCAACTGCAACTCTCCCAAAAGCTCGAGAAATAAGTGCCTTTTCCTAAAGGTAGCACCTGGGGACACACCACAGCATCCACTACAGTCCACCCCTTGGGCTGCTTGGGTCCACTTGGTTTGTATAATGAGTTTGCCTCATCAGGGAACAGCTCCTTTAGGGTTCTGGTGGGTTTCTTCTCCCAGGAAGCTCTACAGGAGGAAGGTTAGTGGGATAAATGGCATCTGGTCTGGGGGCTGCAGCTGGTACTGATACTTTCCCTCCTCTATCACACATGCTAGATTCTTCATACCCTCGCCTCTACCTCTGCTAGTCTAGGTGGCTTACGTGTCAGGGTGATCCAGACCCTCGTCCCTGAGGGGTCTGAGTTCCTGGTCTCCATGCCCTTTACAAGCCAAGGTTGCTGCTCTTGTTAAAACAAACAAAAAAAACCAAACCCGTTGCCATTGAGTCGATTCTGACTCACAGCGACCCTATAGGACAGAGCAGAACTGCCCTATAGAGTTTTCAAGGAGCACTTGGTGGATTCGAACTGCCAACCTTTTGGTTAGGAGCTGTAACACTTAACCACTAGGCAACCAGGCTTTCCTGCTTTTGTTCAGGTGCCATCAAGCTGGGCAGGGGGATATTTAGAGATGTCCCAGTGGATCAGCTGGGTACCAAATAGAGTCTCTCCCATCCTTGGGGTCAAACTGTTGTTTATTACAGTCAATGACCCGGCTAGGATAGTGACTCTTTTCCTTTCCTGCAGATCTCTTGGCGCAAGGGACCCAAACAGACTGAGAGGCAGCCATGGCTTACAGTTTAATGAAACTTGCTGAGTCTCCTTGTGGAAGTGTCCTCCCTCCGAGATTCAGGACCTCTAGACCCTCAGATCCTAATGCTACAGGGATGGGAAACAAAATTTCCAAGTGGGTCACTGGGAAGGGTAGCCACTGCTCCTTCCATCTCTTGGTTCCCAAACCCATGTAGTCTACCTATTAGGGACATAACATTTTCCCCTCCAAAAAAACAAAAACTAAAACCCATTGCCGTTGAGTAGATTCCAACACATAGTGACACTTTAAGACAGACCAGAACTGCCCCACAGGGTTTCCAAGGAGCGGCTGGTGGATTCAAACTGCTGACCTTTTGGTTAGCAACCAAGCTCTTAATCACTGCGCCACCAGGGCTCCATTTGGGGACATAGCACCATATAATTCTCATTGATTTTGAATGTATATTGCATCTAGGATATCCCAAGGCACCATCTTCACAGGATGTTATTGCCTCTGAGCTGGCACCTTGGCTTCACCTTCCACTGCTCTACTAGGCTGGCAGTTTCTGGGAGACGCAGTATGTTAGGACCAGTGGATCCATATCATATGCCCACTGCAGCACCTCTTTGGCTATAAAGTGAGTTCTTTGGTCCAGTGCAATGCCATGTGCTACCCTGTCTCAGTGCATCATATACTCTGTGAGATCTTGCATCTTGGGGTTGGCTGAGCCCTGTGAGCAGGAAAGGCAAAACCACACTCAGAATAAGATTGATCATGTCCCCTTCCAGGGTGGAAGGGGTCCAATGTAATCAACTTGCCATCAAGTGGCTGAGAGGTCCTTTTGAGGGGTGGTGCTGTATCAGGGGCTCAGTGTGGGTCCCAGTTGCGGCATGCTGGACTTTCAGTAGTGGAAGCAGCCTTGGTGAGTGAGAGCTCATGCAGTTGGGTCCATGTGTGTCTTCCATCTCTGTCACCACGGCCCATTGGGCCATCACCGTGGTGACTGATGCCAGGCACTGGCTTATGTCAACTGGCAAATCCATTCTATCTACTACTTGGCTGTTTAGTGCATGTCCTGGGGTGGATGCTTTCAGGTGTGCACTGACATGATACACAGATCTTCACATTGTTAGCGTCTTCCTAGATCCATCCACAAGCCTCTTCCCCAGGTCTCCTCATCCCCAATCTTCCAATGTTTTTCATACAGGTGCCTGACCAACTTGTCAAACCATTTTGCTATGGCCCATGAGAGTATAAATTCTTACCTTGCCCCACTCTGTGTGGAGACACACACAGTGAATGACCATATACCCTACTTGAAGCCCATGGCTTCCCTTCAGCTTTTCAGGGCCACCCCTGAATGGGCTATAGAGAAGCCACATCCCATTTTCAGCTTGCACTCTTATACCAAGCTGACTCATCTCTGAAGCAAGCTCAGCCATTTTTCTCCTCCCTCCCTTCATCATAAGTGTGTCCTCTTACAGCCATGGCTGTGAGCTGAGAGAAAGAAGCTTGTGTAAGAGTCCTGGATGACAGGGGACGTGGGTCACCTGCTGATGTAACTTTCTTGCACTCTCTGCCCTGATTGTGTCTAGTCCTGGAGATAACACTTCCGTCTTTTGAAAGACTGCTGCTGGACCTCCCAAGCATGTAACTCAGTGGGCTTGACAGAATGCAGGTTGTGATGGTCAGCTCTGGCTTTGTCAGTTACCTGGTGTCCTGTGGTCAAACTGTCCCATATCTCGTAGGGCCCAGTAGCATACCAGGAGCATGTATACTTTGCTGCAGGTGGCCTGGCCCTGCGCTAGAACCCTGTGGTTTTTCCTATTGGGGCTGACCAGAAACTCCACGTCATCTTTCCCCACCACAGATACCTCTCTTACTGTAGAGTCTACCAGGTCCTATGGCCCAAGTGGCATGACTGCTTGCACTACAGGCTGGACCTGCTACCAAGCCTCTTTTACTCAGCCCCACTCGAAACTGGCAGCCTTTTATGTTACCTGGTATACGAATAGGTGCCTGGGTGGCACAAATAGTTTACGCTCAACTGCAAGTCTAGAGGTTGGTGGTTTGAACCTACCTGGTGGCACCACAGAAGAAAGACCTGGTGATCTGTTTCCATAAGATTACAGCCAAGAAAATCCTATGAGGCATTTCTACTCTGTAACACATGGGGCCGCCGTGAGTTAGAATTGACTCCGTGGTACCTGGTTTTTAGTATATGGATTGGGGCAATATTCCCAGATGTGGAATATGCTGTCTCTGGGATTCTTCTTCATGATAGGGGATATGAGATGCAATAATTTGCCCTTTACTTTCAAAGGGATGTCTTGGTATGCCCCAGAATACTGGACCCCAAAGATTTCACTGACATGGGGGCCACTGAATCTTTATAGGGGCTAATGCATAATCCTCTGAGATGCACACATTTCACCAGGGCCTCTAGCGTACTTGCCGCCTCTTGCTCATCTGGTCTGATTGACATGATGTCATCAATATAGAGGACTGATGTAATGTTCTGTAGAGTGGTCCAAACCCTTTTGTGTTGTATGATGACAGGGAGTGGGAGAGCTAGCGTAGGTCAAAACTTTAAGTGTGTACTGTTTTCCAGCCCATGCGAATGAAAATTGCTTCTGGCCCTCCTTCCTGATGGAGACAGAAAAGAATGTATCTGTTGGCTCAGTGACCACTTACGATCAATTTGAGGCCATGTTAGGCTGCTGTAGCAGAGACACTGTATCTGTCACGCAGCTGCACTGGGACTACTGTGCAGTTGAGTTTGTAGCAGTTCACTGCCATCCTACTGGGTCTGTCTTATTTTTGTAGGGGCCAAACTGTCGAATTAAATAGGGGAGAGGTGGAGTGGATGGTTAAGCATTCCACTACTAACCAAAAAGATTGGCAGCTCAAACCCACCCAGAGGTGCCTCAGAAGAAAAGCCTGGTGATCTTCTTCCAAAAGGTCACCGCTTTGAAAACCCTATGGTGCACAGTTCTCCTGCCATGAGTCAGAATCCACTGGATGGCAACTGGAAGAAGATGGGATCACTTGCCCTGCATCCTTTAGGTCTTCAAGAGTGACGCTAACCTCTGTCTCTATGCTGTTTTCCCCAGGATTCAATATTGTTTTTGATTTACTATTTTGGATGAGGGAGTGTCAGGCTCAGAGGCTTCCTTTTGGTTTTCCCTACTATGATAGCTCTCACCCCACAGGCCAAGGAGCCAATGCGGGGATTCTGCCAACTGCGACTTGTGCATTTGGGGACTGGGGAAATGGCTACTCGGTGAGCCTGGGAGCCAGGCCTGAGCCATACCTGCATTTATGACTCATCCTCCTTGTTTCCTCTCTCTAAAAGGGGAGGGAAGATGATGCTTTGGGCCCCTAGTCGTCAATGGCAGCTTGGAGCCTGGTCCTCACCATGACTACCCATTTCTCCAGTGTGCAGTTAACCAAGTAAAAGGCGGTACACTTCGGTGGAAGAACTGGTACAGTCAGTTGCTGTGGGTTCTTCTTCCTGGAGACATGGCTATCCTTCATTCGATGGAGTCTAGGTCTGAGCTGGCTCAGGTCTCAAAACCAGACAAGGAATTGAGGCTTTTCATGGGGCGACTGCCCTCAACGTCCTCATCATCCACCCTGGTTTCTTTTGATTGTATAGATGGAGCAATGCCTTTCTGGGCTCATCTGTCTTCTCCCAGTTAACCGTGTCCCGGTCTCTGTAGGTCAGCTCCCACCCACCACTTCAGCCTTACAAATATTGAACCCACCTTCCTTCTGATTACTGCCACCTGACTTTTATCTCATGAGGATCCTGTCACCCCTCTGCTATCAGAAAGTCTAGTTTGGTAGCTGCACCTCCTGCCACCAGCCCTGGCCTACAGGGGACACCGCACACTGTCCCACCAAGTGCCACCTTACCATTGCGTTTCTTTCTGCTCTGGTGGATAGAATGTTGCCAGGCCTACCTACGGCAGAAAATAGTCATCTGCTGGGTTTTCCAGCCCTGGTTCACCCTTCCATCATCTGCCCCGGTGACTCCAGCATTCACCCTGGCCATAGCCTTCTCCAAGCTTCCAAGAGCTATACTAGCATGTGCAAGGGGGAGCTCTCTGCCCCATCTTCAAGGAGGGGGACATGCTAGCTTTTTGCAGGGGCAGGGGGCCACACTTTCAGCCCTGAAGGATCAAGGGAATCAGAGCTCACATATTCCAGCACACTGGCTGCACAGCCCAAGCCTCAGGGTCCCACTCTTCCTGGTCGGACCCTGGTCTTGGGGTAGCAGATGGAGCAGGTTGAGCCCTCCACCTTCTCTGGTTCTCTGGGACTCTTACACTGAAGCCATGGGCCTGATGCTCGGCCATTCCTGGTCCCCAGCAACAGGGAAGGAGGGCTTCTTCCTGTACTATGGAGGAGGACTACTGGCTTCGACTTACACTGGTTGATTATTTAAACAAAAAAACGAGTTGCCGTGGAGTCACCCCCGACTCATGGCGACCCCATGTGCGTCAGAGTATAACTGGGCTTCATAGGGACTTCAATGGCTTATTCAGAAGCAGACCTCTGGTCTTTCCTTCCCAGGCACCTCTGGGTGGACTTGAACCTGCAGCCTTTCAGTTAGCAGCTCAGTGCTCAACTCTTTGCACCACCCACGGTTCAATTGATTGGCCGTTGCTGTCGAGTTGATTCCAATTCATTGTGACCCTATAGGACAGCAGATCTGCCCCACATGGTTTCCAAGACTGTAAATCTTTATGGAAGCAGACTGCCACATCTTTCTCTTGGTGGGTTTGAACTGCCGACCTTTAGGTTAGCAGTCGAATGCTTAACCATTGTGCCCTGATCACCCTCAGCCTTTGATTGTCGTGCTCCGGTGCATTGGACTCCATGAACAAAAACACAAATCCATTGCCATCGAGTTGATTCGGACTCTATAGGACAGAGTAGAACTGCCCCATAGGATTTCCAAGGCTGTAGTCTTTATGGAAGCAGACTGCCACATCTTTCTCCCACGGAGCCGCTGGTGGGTTAGCAGCCGAGTGCTTAACCCCTGTGCCACCAGGGCTCCTTGGACTCCATAGTCCCTTATAATTTTGCAACTCCCACTCCCATCCCCAGGCAACTCTCAAGCACTTGACACATTGCACTCACTAGCGCATCTTCTTCCTCTGATATCCCACCCCAGTTCACCCCCGGGAGCAGCTTATCACCACATCGGTACATCCCAGCGGGTCTCAGTGCTCCATGCACCCCCAGGGATGGGGTTCTCATTGCCCTGGTTGGTGGGCGATCCTGCTCTACAGTCCCATTTTAGAGTCTGCTTCCTCAGGCCTCCTCCGACACCCACTTCTTTAGGTTAGGGTCCCTGGGAAAAAGACTCGGAGATGGGGATTGGCTAATAAGGGTTTGTTGGGATGCTCAGAAACTTCACCCATCGGGCAGAACGGAAGGCAGGAAGGGCAGAGGGAGGAGTTGGGTCACATGAGCTGCAAGAGCAGCCCCAGCCCATCCCACAGGGAGCCCCAGAGCTGTTGTTTGTTGCTGCCCAGTTAGCTCCAACTCATAGCGCCCTTAATGTACAGCAGAACCAAACCTTGCCCAGTCTTGCACCTTTTTCATGATCTTTGCTATATCTGAGTCCATTGTCACGGCCACTGTGTCAATCCTTCTCATTGAGGGTCTCCCTCTTTTATGCTGACCCGCTACTAAGCATGATGTCCTTCTCCAGTAATTGGTCCCTCCTGATAACATGTCCAAAGTAAGCAAGACGGAGTCTCACCATCCTCGTTTCTAAGGAGCATTCTGGCTATACTTTCCACCAGGACTGAGCTGGGTTGTCCCAAATTGAGAGCAGGGGCTAAGCCTTGCACTCCTATGTGGGCAGGTGGTGGAGGACGGAGGGGTGGTGGTGGGCTCTGTCCACCCTGGCAAGGAGGAGTGCTATTATTTAGAATTGCTGGCACATAGCATAATAAAAAGCAGATGAGCTTTTAGTCGGCTCTACTACTTTTAAAAAGGAGCCCTGGTGGCTCAGAGGTTAAGTGCTCGGCTGCTAACCAAAAGGTCTGCAGTTTAAACCCACCAGCCGCTCCACTGGAGAAAGAGCTGGCAATCTGCTCCCGTAAAGATTACAGTCTAGCAGACCCTTTGGGACAGCTGTACTCTGTCACAAGTGGTCGCCATGAGTCGGAATCAACTCGACAGCAATGGGTTTTCTTTTTTTTTTGGTTTATTACTTTTAAAAACTTCTCTACATACAGTGCGCTCCTTATTGCCTGCACCCATGGAGGACCCTCCTGCTGCCCCGTCCTTGGTACCATCCTGTGCCCCGTCATCGGACGCAGGCTGCCCGGGCAGCTCCCTGGGAGGGCACAGCTGCACCCACCGCGGGTAACACCCTGGCAGTCCCGTCCTGCAGGGCTGTGGGCGTGCCCCACAGCGTCCTCTCCAGGCTGGGCAGAGCGGGGTGCAGATGGGGCTGGAGTGGGTTTCGGGGCAGGGTCCCACTTGCTCTCCTTCCTCCCCAGGTGTGGAATCAGAACGGCAGGAGCCCCTCCATCACCTTCGAGTACACGCTGCTGCAGCCGCCACACGCTCACCGCCTGCAGCCTGTCTACTACAGCTTCTCTGAGCCGGCCTCCGAGAGTGCCGAGAGCCAGGAGCTGGACGGTGCCACCCTTCTGGGCTTTGTGCGCCACAACGGCTCCCTGTACGGCCCGGCCTCCATGGAACGGCTGGGCCTGGACCACCGGCTGTTCAGCCCCCCGGGGCCAGGGCTCGAGCTGGGCCTGGGCAAGGGTCCGGAGACCAACGAGGTGTGCGAGCGGGCCAGCGGCGGGGCCTGCGAGGGCCCCCCCGGGGGCAAGGGCTTCCGAGGTAACCAGGAGGCAGTGGGCTGGGCAAAGACGGGGGCCCACGGGGCAGGGGCTTCCTATGGAGGGGCCTTGGGGAGGGGTCCTCAGCCCTCTCCTGTCTGGAGAAGCGGTTAATAAGAGGTGCAGCCATTCACACGCACCCTCCTGCATACATCCTTGGAGGGGGGTGTGGTTGTCCCATTTGACAGATGGACAGACTGAGGCTTAGACAGCGGAGGCCACATGCCCCAGTCTCACAGCCCTCCCGGGAGGAGCTGAGGCTCAAGCCCAGGCAGTCAGACCCTGCAGCCTTCGCTCACTCAGGCGAACGCCTGGCCTGTACTGGGCTGGGGTACAACAGTGAGCACCGTGACACACATGGGCATGGGGTCCAGCGGGGTAGATAGACAACAGACAGCACCACAAGGTGTGGCCGGGGGAAGATGGGGAGACAAGGGGGTGCGCAGATGGGGGGTGGCAGGAAGACTTCTCAGAGGGGGGGGTTCCAGCTTGAGGACTACCCGGGCAGGGTAGGGCATTGTCGGACTGGAAGGTATCAGGTGGAGACCTGAGGATGGGCTCCGGGGCTGCAGGCAGGCTCTGGGGGAGATGGCTGGAGACCCAGCTGGGTTAACCTGGAGTTTAGGTCCCTGAGAGAGGTGCTAGGTGTGAGCTTGCTCCCGAGGGCAGGGGCCATGGGAGGGGCCAGGTGGGGGCATGGCTGATCAGGTGTGTTTGGATCATCTCACTTGAGGGAAGACTCCGAGACCCTCAGAGTCTCTAGAAGAAACACTGGGGGTGTCCTGGGGCTGCTGTGACCAATGACCACATACAAGAGGGCTTCCAATAACAGTTGTTTATTCTTCCCCAGCCTGGAGGCGTGGGTAGGGCCACGTTCCCGCCAGAGGCTCTAGGGGAGGACCCTTCCAGGTCCCTTTCAGCTTCTGGTGGCCCTTGGTGTTCCTTGGCTTGTGGCTGCATCTCTCCCCTCTGCCCCGTCTGCTTGTGGTGTCCCCTCTTCTTTCTGTGCCCTCTTGTTATAGTGATATCAGTCACTGGATTTGGGGCCCCTAAATCCAGGATGATTCCATCTCAGATGCTTAACTAATTACATCTGCAGAAACCCTATTTCCAAATAAGGCCACATTCTGAAGTTCCAAGCGGACATGAATTTTTTGGGACGCTATTCAACCAGAGTCCCCTCTACGAGGGATTGTCCAGGCTGGCTTGCTTGCCTGTAGTGATGGGACACTCACTCCATGATCTTGACTAAATTGTGCCCTCTGGAGCCTCCTAGTTCAGCTTCCTGGCTTCTAACCCCACCACTCTGAGTCCCTCCCGCGGACTGCCCTTGTCCCCAGCACGAGGGAGCACTTGAGGTTGAGCCACCTGTCTCCCTCCTGTAGACCTCAACACCACCGGGACAGCTCTGTCAGGGGACAAAGACGACCAAGAGAGCGACGTCCACTTCTCCTCCCAGGAGCTCCTCTCGGCCAACGCCATCTCCGACCGGCTCCTGGGCACAGGCTCGGACTCGAAGGAGCTCACCCTCAACGAGACCGTTAACAGCATCTTTGGGCAGGGTGCCCCAAGGAGCCCCCTGGCTGACAGCCTCTATGTGGATTACGAGGAGAACGAAGGCACCACTGCTTACCTGCTCAACGGGTCCTACCTGGAGCTGAGCAGTGACAGGGTCACCAACACCTCCTCCGAGGCCCCGTTCCCCAACGCCAGTGCCAGCCTCCCCAGTGTGGCCGGGAACAGGACCCACAAGGCCAGGTAGGAGGTGCTTCCTGCTGCTACCTGGGGCCTGAGGTCCAGGCCTATGGGGTGTGGGAGGCACCCAAGCTCAGACGCAGTGAGGCCTCACCTACAGTGGGGTCTACTGGAAGGACCAGGGTCCCTGGAGGCAAGTGGGCGAGGGCCCCCATCCACAGCCCCCACATCTCAGCAGGTCGGAGGCCTGGCTCTGGGTGGGCCTGAGACCAGGAGCCTCCTTGGGTTGGGGCCAGCTGGGAGGGGTTGGCCCCAGACCTGTGACTGTCTCCACTGAAGGACAATTCCTGGTGACAAGCCCCCTGGGCGAGGGTAGCCACTCCTACCAAGGGTGTCCTCATTGCCAGGGTCCTGTGCTTTCCCCTGACACTGTGTGAGCAGTGAAGCTGGTGAAATGAACGTGGCCAGGCTCAGCAGCAACTGGGGGTGATGGGGGCTGGAGGGAAACAGGCCCACTAAACCCCTTCCTTTAAACAGCAGACATGAGTGGGTCTTGGGCTCGGGGGGCCTGGGCCGGGGTGGGTGCAGAGAAGGTGCCCTCCGGGGGCTCGGGGATGCATCTGATGGAGATTTGGGGTTTACTCTTGAGGTGATGTGGTTGGGGTGACTTTTTCACCTGTCCTGGGGGACAAAAGCAGGAACACCACTGGGGGCGTGGGTCCTGGACTCACTGTGCACCTGCTTCCCTTTTCAAACTGTTTTCTGAGCCCCCTCCCCATGGGATAGCTGGGATGGTGGGGCAGGGGCGTTCCTGAATGCTCTGGGTGGAAGTCTTTTGCAAATGTGGGCAGAGTGGAGGACATGGAGCCTTCTGTGGGGCCAGAACAGGACTATCTGACGGTCGGAGCTCCCCTCCGAACAGGTTTATCAGGGTGGGACAGAAGCCGCTGCTGAATTTGGCTACAGGCATGGAAAATGCCGGCAGCTGTGTGGGCAGAGGGAGGCCAGGGAGGAGCTGCAGGGCACTTGGGTTCCAACCCCAGCTCTGCCACCACCTCTCTGCGTCACAGACACGCCACTTAGCCCCTCTCTGGGCCTCAGTTTCTCCATCTCTGACATGAGGGGCTTGTCAGATGGCTCCCTCAGGGCCTGCCAGCTCAGCTACTCAGGGATTCCGTGGGATGGCTTAAGCCAACATTTGAGAGTCTCCCCAGTTCCTGTCCCAGTAGGCTCTTACTCCGCCCCCTCAGCCCCTCAGGGACGTACTGGATTCCCAGAGCCTGTCTGGGGGCGTAGGAATCAATATGCTAGCTTGTCAGGGCTCAGAAAGCCCCAGGTGGCAGCCCCCCAGCCGGCGTCCATCAAAGCAGGAGCCGAGCGGGATAAAGATGGTCTGGAGAGAGGGCCAAGGGAGGCCGCGGAAACGACCCGGCCAGAACAGCCTTGTCTCAGCCGAGTTGTCCAAACACAGGAAGTCGCGTCTGCTTGAGGAGAAGGCAAAATCAAAGGGGCGCCCAGAAAAGAAAGGCTATTTTCATCTTCTCAGGAAAGCTTCAAACACTCAAGGGAGGGGGGAGGCCGCCACCACACCAGACACTGGGAGCAGAGGCTTTGAGGCACCCTCGGAGGCCTGGGGGCAAAGAAAAGAGCACTTTCTAGTTGGGTTATAAACAAACACGGTCACCTCAGAGCTTCTCCTGAGAGAGGCAGGAGGGGCCAGCTTCTCCACAGGCAGCTGCTTCAAGGCCTGCGTGAGCCGTGGTTTAGAGCACTCAGCGGCTTCTCGGCCATCACAAACCCGGGTCTAGTGGACGGGGGCAAGGTCTCCCTTCAGATGGAGGCGAAGGAAAGTTGGTGGTTCAGCGACTTCCCAGTGCTTCGCTTCACTTCTTGGTGCCACTTCCAAGAACTGAACGCTAGGCGTTGCATTGTTGGGCAAACACACGCAGGTTTTCTCAGGAATTGCATATGCTATCCTGCCCCTGCTGGTGTCGAGAGTGATGTGTGGGCAGCCTCTCCAAAAATATCTTTTGTGCTTGAAATCCAGGGGGCTATTTTGAACAGGGCAGTGCTCTCTCTCTTGAGTCAGGAGTGAGTCACGCTGCCTGCTGGCACGAGTGAGGCGTGTGTAATTAGATAAAGATGGCGGCCTCTGCATGGGTGGGAGTGGCGGGATCTTTGCATCTCTTTGTTCTTGGGGAGAATTTAGAACTGTTGAAAGGCAGGGTGAGGGACCCAGTCAGCACAGTTGAGTGTTTTCTGAATCAAGCGAGTCCAAAGATTTGTCTCGCTGTCCTGCATCCCCTCAGAGGCCTTGCTCTCGGGGAGGTGGGGGTCTAACTGGACCTCACTGATGCAACTTTCCGGTTTCCACACATTCTTCGTTCTTAGATGACAGGGCCTTGGACCATTTTAAAGTGTCCTCTCATTTTTAAGGAGGAGGGAGAGGAGACCTTCCCCCTGCCCCCCAGAACTGTGGGGGCTGTGAAACCTCTAGGCGGGGGTCCTGGCAGGCTCTGGAGAAGCCAGCTCAGGCCTCCCTGGGCCTTCTTCTCACCCCTTCTACCATACCTCTCTCCTCCCTCCCTTGCTTCAGGGAGCCAGGTGGGTGGAGGTGGATCATTCCTTCAGGTCCCCTTTGTAGATCACTCCCTAGGTTCTCAGACAAGGACGCGCCTTCAGGGCAGGGTTCATGGGGAGGTGGGCTCCTCCTGGGACTTTTAAGCCCACCCCAACAAATGTGAGGGCAGGTCTCACATTCTTGTGAAATTCCACAAGCCTGGAAAAATTAACAAACACTGAACTCCTGGTGTGGTGTCATCCAAAGCAATGTCTTTATCCCAGAATCGACTAGAAAGCCCTTTTAAATGTCTGACCAGTGACTCCCAGCCAAGCCTGAGTCCCCTTCCTGTCCACAGACGTAAGATAAGCTCCCAAGGCAAGAACCTGTGGATTTGCCCAGATTCCAGCCCCGTGAAGGGTGTTAGCCCAAGACCATCTTCGGCCAGCCCCCCAGGGCCCAGGAAGGAGGGTGGGGAGCCCCAGAGCCCACTGCAGCTAAAATGGAATTTGAGGCTGGACTTGCTGCTGTCTTTGGTTCAGGGTGCCACCTCCTCCCCTGGCTCAAGCTTGGGCGCCCTGTGCTGGTCGCGGCTGGCAGACACCCTGTGTTACAGGGGCTGCTGCCCCCTCCTCCCTGGGTCCTGAGGTGGGCCTCACACACTCATCAGTTCACAGATGCAAGCAGGCTAACAAAAGTTGGCCTCGGCCGCCCGAGGGCTGTCCAAGAATAATAGCTGGTCATTGGCCGGAGCTCAGTCCTGTCTGCGCAGCCAGTGGCAGACCTGAGCTGAGAAGTGGCCAGAGGCGTCTGGAGGGGCCGGGCCACCCCGTCTGCAGCTGAGCTGTTTCGCGCGTTTGTTGTGCGAGGCTGAATGGCTAGTGTCCCCATTCAATCAGAATCCACTGCGGTGGAGGGGGGGACGGGAGGGCAGGCAGAGAATGCTGGCACATTCTCAGCACACAGGCGCCTCCGAGGCCTTTTCTCAGATGGGAGGAGGGACCCACTAGCTGACTCGGGAGGGACATGTGCGTGGAGGCAGCGGGTGAGATGCTGGTGAGGCCCAAATCCCTCCTCATCTGAAGGAGACACGGCAGCCCACAGCTGGGGTCTTGCCACAGAGAAAACAACAGATGTCTGTTCCACCCTGAAGTCTGCCTGTTTGTGGGGGCCTTCCCTCATTCTCGGGGTCTTACACAGTGGGTGCTCTGACCCTGAGAGGCGGGCATCCGGCTGGGGGCCCAGGGAGAGGATGTTGTTAAATAGAAGCACACCTGCCTCCATCACCGAGCCAATACCCACTGATGGAACCTCCCTCCTGGGCCTTTGCTCTCTCTCACCGCTTCTCTGCTTGCTGCTGTCTTCAGAACCAGGCCCAAGGCGCGCAAGCAAGGCGTGAGTCCGGCGGACATGTACCGGTGGAAGCTGTCATCCCACGAGCCCTGCAGTGCCACCTGTACCACAGGTACTGGTCCCAGGGCTGTGGGCCGGGCGAGGGGCCTCAAACCGCCCGCAGAGAGCTTAGCGAGTGACAGCCTGAGCCGGGGAGGCCATGCCGTGGGACGATCAGACAGAGGCTCCTCGTCCTGACAGACACGCTGGACCAAGGTGATGTCCAGGCCTACAGGGGTTTCCAGGCCCCCAAACACTCCCTCGTCTGTGCTGTTCATATCTCATCTTATTGGAGCAAACTTCCTTCTGGTTAAAAGTAAGAACTCTCGGGCAGTGGGGTTTTGCTGTTGTTTACGGCACACACAGAGGAGGGGAGGAGGCCTTGTGGCCTGCGACTGAGGGACTCGGTCACATTCTAGGACCTCGTCCGTGGCACCTGGACAGACACACGTGATTAGGAAGTGACACGCTGGGATTTGAACCCAGGTCTGCTGCGGCATGGCTGGCTGCCACCACAGGAGACTCTGGCCGTGTCACCAGGGCAGGGGCTCCATCCGCCACCAGCTCCAGCCCCCACCCGTGGGAGGTGCTGCCAGGCCAGGTGTTGGGCCAGTGGCACCACTAAGGGGTGCGGGGTTGTCAGAGGGGGTGACAGCAAAATGCCCCCAGGGTCCACAGCGGCAGTGGTGACAGGCTGGTGCTGTCGGGGGAGGGGACACTGAGGCAGTGACGTCACTAGGATTAGTGTCCCCATCATCACCTAGTGTGGAAACTTGTCACCTCCCCCCAGTCACCCTCCAGTCAGGGTGGGGCGCACGCCATTGGTCAGAGAGAATGTTCTCCACCTTGGCCAATGGGAGAAGGGAGGAGCTGGGGGGGCGGGGCCAGGAGGGGGTGGGGCCTCCCCACCCATGGGGAGGGTTTGCCGGACAGCCCGCGTGTGTGTGTGTGTCTGTGTGTGTGTGTGTGTGTCTGTGTGTGTGTGTCTGTGTGTGTGTGTCTGTGTGTGTGTCTGTGTGTCTGTGTGTGTGTATGTATGTGTGTATGT